TTTTTCTGTATAGGTCGTTAACATTTTCCTCTGTTTGTGAGCTAGGAAAATCCATTCCAAAATATTATCCTCCCTCTGCATAATGAATTCAGTAGGGGAATGATTACTAAAATGCATTTAGTTATGAGATCTAATCGATCCACATATAGGCACTTTGTAATTTTTGTTCAACTTAGGCTAATTCACTTTAAGACTTAGCTGTTAATTGCTTTGGACTGTTTAAATCTGAGTCACCTTTCAAAATTTGAAGCAAATTATTTAATTCTTGAGTACACAATCCAATGGTAGGATGTAACTGAAGTGTGATCCTAATTAACCTTAATAATAAAAACCTGGAGTCAGATGTCAAGGGTGAAAGCTGAAAGATCAGCAGAGCAGGCAACCACTAGAAAGACTTCTTAAAGTCTCTACAAAATCTCAGACTGAATGGGGGATATCCCATCTCTATGAATCCTTAGACTGAATGGGTGGGAAGTCTCCACCCACCACCTTATATTCCTGTCCCCACCTCCCATGTGCTGGGATCAAAGGCATGATCCTTCTTACTGCTGGGATTAAAGGTGTGAGCCTCCCATGTGCTGGGCTTAAAGGTGTGAGCCACCACTACCTAGCTCTGTTTCTCTTTTATACTGGTTCAATCTTGTATAGCCCAGGGTGGCCTTGAACTCCTTATCTTTCTGCTTCCTCATCCCACATGCTAGAATTAAAGGTGTGTGCCACCACTGCCTGGCCTTTATGGTTAATTAGTGGCTAGCTCTACCCTCTAATCTCCAGGAAAGCTTTATATGTCAGAACACAAACAAAATATCATACAACAGGTAACCAGTTAATATCACCCAATATTTTTTGAAAATCATTAAGCGTGTGCATTTGATCTCCCCAAATCTGGACTTTTTGCAGCTGAATTCTCTGTTTACTTAATTTAAATCCTAAATAACTAAAAGAATCTCCTCTTTGCATTTTTTTTTCAGGAGAAATTTGAAGTCCCCAACAGGGTAAAATTTTCTGTACCACATTAAACATTTTTTCTAATGTATCTGTATCAGAAGCAGCCAATAAAATATCATCCATATAATGATAATAGATTGAAGAAATTGTTTACAAACCATTTCTAGTGGTTGATGTACAAAATATTGACGTAAAGTTGGGCTATTTAACATTCCTTGGGGAAGGACATTCCAATGACATCATTTTACTGGTTGAGCATTATTATTAGTAGGAATTGGAAAAGCAAATTTTTCCCTATCCTGTTCTTGTAAAGGAATAATAAAGAAGCAATCTTGTGAATCAATAACTATAATAGGCCAATCCTTAGATAATAAGGAAGATAAAGGTATTCCAGACTATAAAGATCTCATAGGTGGAATCATCTTATTAATCACTTTTAAGTCAATTAATAATCTCCATTTTCCAGATTCCTTTTTTATTACAAACAGGAAAATTCCAAGGACTAGTAGTTTCCTCTATGTGCTTAGCATCTAACTGTTCTTTTACTAGTTGTTCAAGTGCCTGTAACTTTTCTTTAGTTAAGGACCACTGCCCCACCCATGTAGGCTTATTAGTTAGCCCTTTTAACTAATTAGATTACCAGCAGTGGCTCCTACTCCAAATTTGGATAGGCAATTCCTATTTTATCCTGCTGTTGAACAAAACAAAGAAGATATCCTGCTGTATATCCTCTTATTTTCCTCAACAATTTTTTCCAATACCTTTTCTAGGAATTTACTCCATTTTTAACATCATTTTGTGAGCTGTTTCTGAAATTGTAAGAACATTAATTTGAGTTCCCCATTGTTGTAACAAATTTTTCTCCCAAAAATTCACAGCGATATCAGCTACACAAGGCTTTAACATACCTATTTGTCCTTCTGTCCATATACATTTAATCCATTCTACATTCTGTTTTTACCTGAGATAAGGTTCTATTGACTACAAATTGAGTGGAGACTTCTTGTAAAGGCCAAGTGGGATTTTAAGGTTTTTGAAAATTTAAAGATATATCAGCTTTAGTGTCTGGTAGGCCTGAAATTTGAATATCATTTACTTGTAATTTTAGCTTTGGCCTCTTATCATTAATAATAGTTTGTCAAAACATTTTTTCAGTATTTATTTATTTATTTATTTATTTATTTATTTATTTATTTATTTTGAGACAAGGTTTCTCGGTGTAGCTTTGGTGCCTGTCCTGGATCTTGCTCTGTAGACCAGGCTGGCCTCAAACTCACAGAGATCTATCTGCCTGGCTCTGCCTCCCGAGTGCTGGAATTAAAGGCGTGTACCATCACCACCTGCCTTTTTTTTTCAGTATTTTTTAAATCTCCTGTCTTACAATTGGAGTTGCTTTACATTTAAAATATGGAAGTAATAACAGTTGAGCAACTTTACCACCAGCATTTATTTGCATAGCCCTTTTTACATAAGCCATCTATAAAAGCATTTAAAACAATATCTATAGGATTTTAAGAGGTAACTTTAAGTAATACTATGGAATATTTTTATAAAATTTTAACAGGAGGATACTTTTTTACAAATCTTAAGTAACATGTTAATGTAACTTGCCAATTATTAACAGTGTGGGCCAAACAATTTACCTATATTTTACTTAGTGGAAAAATAATTTTTGTAAGCTCCTTATCAGTAAGAGATCATTTTTATGAGCTTTTACCTTAGTAACCATAGTATCTAATAAGCTAACCACCCAATCTGTTTCAAGTGTTACATTTTTACGCAATTTAACCAAGACTTTCTAGAAAGCAACTTAAAAGAGTGAAGCCAAATCTTCAGTAAATGACCAACAGAGAAGAGCAAACACAATACTATAGTTTAAAGTCATGAATGTTGTTCTTCCAATTCATTTACTATAAAAATTAAACATTATGATTAGACAATCAAGAGAAGAGAACATCCTTTACACAATGAATGACTAATATCTCTGGATATTCAAACAGCGTTGACTTAGTACTTTATGCCCTGATCATACTTTTTTTTTCTAGAAGTTGGGGTTGTTTAAAATTTTTTATTTCTCCCATGAAGGGACCATTGATAATGATTTATTCCAACTATAAGGAAAGATAAAAAATATTTCCCAGGAAGGGATCTTTAATATTGAGTTATTCCTGCTGTAATGAAAAAAACAAGAATCATTTAAACCAAAGTTAAGCCAACAGACAAGAAAACTCTCAGCTCTGAGCCTGTTGTGCTTGCTCAGGCTGCAGCAGTGAGGCCCTGCCACTCATTCTTTGTAATTCAGATGCCCCCTCTTTTTGCTGACCTGCAGTTCTGTGAAAGAGCTGACAGGCAGGGAGAGCTCTAAGTTACAACTATCCTCAATTTCTTATATCAAAAAGAGACTTTTTTCTTCCTATTTTTACTGGGAAGAGGCTTTTTTTCTTTCCCTTATTTTTTGTTCACAGTGACTTTTAATTTTTAGTCCTTGATTTGATAATTTTCCCGTTTTTACCAGGAAAATTGTTTTTGTTTTTTGTTTTTTGATTAAGCATTTCACCCTTTACTATCCAGGGATTTCCTTTAATTTCCTTTCCTTCCCTTTTCTCTATTGAGATGGGCCTTTTTCCTTGATTTATTCTTTGTCTCAGGCGCCATTTTATTTCTATCTTTAAAAATTGTACAGTTACTGCTTTTCCATTTAACAAGCATTTTAGCAATTGTACATTTTGTGCTCCTGAGATGGGGAGTTTAAATTCCCCATGACCCTGCCAATCCTGGAGTCATCTTACCCAGAGAGTGAACTTCTTCCACTTCTTAAAAGTGTCAGGATCCTCTGTCCTTCTTCAAGCACCATGACTATGTCACACCAAAATGTTGTATATTTGCTGTGTGTTCACAGGGGTCCATGGAAAGAAGGCACAGAGCATTCTAAGTATGATTTTAGACTTTTCCACCTTCAGGGGAGGTCTGTCTCTCCGGACTCAAACATTGTAAATAAGCAAAGGGCCCTTTTATTGTTGTACAATTAACAACTTTAGAAAGTCAGTTCCATATACCAAAACGTCTTATCTAAGCCTCTCCAAAGGGACTATGCCAATTGCAAATTCTCAGTAAAGGAATACCACAGTTTTCTGGATTGTCCCTAAACCAAGTTTTCATAGGTTTTGAACTCCTAGCAAACACTCAGATAAGACTTCAAACAGGAGGTAATGGAGACAAGATGTAGCAATCAAAAAAGGCAGATCAAAGCTAGGGGCTAACACTCAGGAAACAAAGGAGCTGCAGCCCTGCAGGAATTCTCCCAATAAGAAACAAAATTAACATCAACCTTGTTTAACCCACTGATATAGGAGGTTAAGGTGCAGACTTGCAAAGCAGGTCCTTGTGTAAAGTAGTGGGATTGTCCAGAAAGTGAAGGGAGAGGACCAAAAGATTTTCCCTGGGACTATTCACCATTTGTCTGGGTGCCCTTTCACACAAAGCCAGGGTCAGAGAGTCAAGAACACCAGGCTCAAACCTGAAACAAGAACTTCCTGCAAGAACCCCATGGAGACAGTCCCAGAGTAAAGTGACACTCTCATGCCTTCTGGGACTTGGAAGGCTATGTGGCAATAGAGTGTTATAAAAAGCCTATAAAAAGTGGCTGTACACACAAACTCAGAACTGCTTTAAAGGAGGCATCCTCCCATAAGAAAGTGATACATTCCTTTCAGAAACTTCAGACATGTGTAGGCAGTACCTCTCCTTGGCAGTAACCTTTGAGTGGGTGATTCTGTCTAGGGATATTAAAAGCTATAGGAAAGTCCATATTAAGGAATATCAGTTCATCTTTTCTAGAAAGCCAAGAGAATCTGTGGCTATGGGTAACAGACTCACTTATTAGTGAGCCTAGGATAGACACTAAATGATGTAAGTTCTCTGGCTCACCAATGCCTGACTTTTAGAAGCCAAGACAAGACAAAAAAAATTGGTAGGGGGAGGCTGTCTCCTGTGATGGAAGGCAGAGAAGCCCCTGAGACTAAGGGGACAGAGCTGCCTAGTGAGCCCCTGGAATCACCAGTCTACACCCTGACCAGAAAGACCAGGCAATGAGGAGTGGCAAGGCCTTTAGGAAAGATGGGCGTACCTCTGTTGCTCTGGGTTAATGTCAAAGAGCCTCATGTCTCTCCTCTGTTTGGCAGTGAGGCTTTTGGATTTCCTCTTCTGCTGCTTTAGCTTCTGACAAGTATTCCAAGACCAGAGCCTTGCGTTGCAGATGGCTCTCACAGTCTTGCTGGCTCCAGTGAGGTATGCTCTGCTTCAGGAAGGCCCTCACAAAGGCCTCAGTCCGCTGGCTTCCCAGCTCCTGCTAGGAGACATGGTGGTATGGTTTACTGTTCTGTTCTCAGACTACAGGGTCCTCATGTCCAGTTCCTGAGAGCCACCATTTTTGCTGATCTAGGTTACAAATCCCTGTCTTCCAAGTGTTTTCTACACACGACTGCCAAGATGTAAAAGTAACACTCACATGCTAACTGTGACACTGTCCTACACTGTAGCCAGGTCAAACACTGACTTCCTGTCCTGTTTCTCTGAGGTAACTCTATTGAGCATTCAAAATCCTTTGTAACACAAGACTTCTCTAATCCTTGTGGGGAAGGAAGCTTGAGAAATGCATGATACAGGTTATTTAATAAGTCATGACCACAAGACTAGCTTGAAATAGAAGGGAGCTGGGGTTGTTAGGGAAATGAGCCATTCCAGAACTAGGGGAAATTGCCTGGGGGTTCCAGGCAGGTCAAGGAGGAGGAAATCTGACACTGAGCACCACAGTCCCCTTTCCTTGCTTTTCAGCCTTGTGGCCTCCATGTGGCTGCTGTTGGAGAGGTCTGCTCCAGTCCCCCTTGAGGCAGAAAGCGCGAAGTGCATCTCGGGCACTACTCACTCTCATCCACAGGACTGTAATACCCTAGGGAAGAGCAGGTGAAACCACTTCACTGTTGTGCCCAGTCCTGAGACACTCTAGTGTCACCACCTCTCAAGTTGGGGTAGCAACAGTCTATTCTTCACTGGGCAGCAGGCATCTCACTTGGCTTCATCTGCTGCAACCCGGGCAGTGCTCTTTCCTGAGGACTTACCTCTTGGCTGGACCATTTGCTGGGCTCTTTTCTCACTAACCAGACAGTAAAAACAAGTCTGAGTCTAACTGCCAGCTTTATTTAGGTTAACATATCAACAGTGGCCGATACCCTCTCTCTGCTAAAGCAGGGGGTAAAAAGACAGAACACACAATCTTTGAGGCAGTTCAAAGTCGGGATGGCTAAACAATCTATCATCAATATCAGAACAATTTGGTTCTTTTAAACACATATGTGGTCTCTCTTTCATGGGGAAATAAAATCAAGGCCTTTTAAAATCTTGATTTCAAGGATATTCTCTCTCCTTTGATTTTTTGAGACAGGGTTTCTCTGTGTATCCCTAGCTGTCTTTAAACACAGAGCACTGCCTGCCTCTGCCTCCCAAGAACAGGGATTAAAGGCATGCGCCACACAGCCTGGTAGGGCATGTGCTCTTTATGAGACACAGGTGACACTTCTTTTTTTTTTTTAGTTTTTTTTTTTAATTTTAATTTTTATTTTGCAATACAATTTAGTTCTACATATCAGCCACGGATTCCCTTGTTCTCCCCCCTCCGGCCCCCCTCATCTTTCCCCCAGCACACACCCCATTTCCACCTCCTCCAGGGCAAAGCCTCCCCTGCGGACTGAGATCAACCTGGTAGACTCAGTCCAGGTAGGTCCAGTCCCCTCCTCCCAGGCCGAGGCAAGCGATTCTGCATAGGCCCCAGGTTTCAAACAGCCAACTCATGCAATGAGCACAGGACCTGGTCCAACTGCCTGGATGCCTCCCAAACAGATCAAGGCAATCAACTGTATCACCCATTCAGATGGCCTGATCTAGTTGGTGACCCCTCAGCCATTGGTTCATAGTTCATGTGTTTCATTTGTTTGGCTATTTGTCTGTGCTTTATCCAAACTTGGTCTCAATAATTCTCGCTCATATAAACCCTCCTTATTCTCAGAGATCTACCCAGGGCCTAGACATGGATCTCAGCATCCAGATCCCTCAGTCGTTGGATGGGGTTTCTAGCACGACAATTAGGGTGTTTGGCCATCCCATCACCAGAGTAAGTCAGTTTGGGCTGTCCCTTGACCATCGCCAGCAGTCTGTTGTGGGGGTACCTTTATGGATTTCTGTGGACCTCTCTAGTACTTTGCTTCTTCCTATTCTCATGTGGTCTTCATTTACCATGGTCCCCTATTCCTTGTTCTCCCTCTCTGTTGTTGATCCAGCTGGGATCTCCCACTCCCCCAAGCTCTCTTTCCCTCGACCCTCGCCCTTCATTACCCCACTCATGTCCAGGCTGTTCATGTAGATCTCTTCCATTTCTCCGTCATTGGGAGATCCCCGTGTCTTTCTTGGGGTCCTGTTTTCCAGGTAGCCTCCCTGGTGATGTGAGTAGCAGTCCAGTCATCCTTGTTCCACATAGAGTATCCTCCTATGAGTGAGTACATACCATGTTTGTCTTTCTGAGTCTGGGTTACCTCACTCAGGATGATTTTTTCTAGATGCATCCATTTGTCTGTAAACCTCATGATATCATTGTTTTTCTCTGCTGAGTAGTATTCCATTGTGTATATGTACCACATTTTGTTTATCCATTCTTCAGTTGAAGGGCATCTAGGTTGTTTCCATGTTCTGGCTATTACAAACAATGCTGATATGAACATAGCTGAACAAGTGCTCTTGTGGTGTGGTTGAGCATTCCTTGGGTATATGCCCAAGAGTGGTAGAGCTGGATCTTGGGGGAGATGGATTCCCAGTTTTCTAAGAAAGTGCCATATTGACTTCCAAAGTGGTTGTACAAGCTTGCATTCCCACCAGCAGTGGAGGAGAGTTCCCCTAGCTCCACATCCTTTCCAGCATAAGGTGTATTCAGTGTTTTTGATCTTAGTCATTCTGACAGGCGTAAGGTGGTATCTCAGAGTTGTTTTGATTTCCTTTTCCCTGATGATTAGGGGTGCTGAGCAATTCCTTAAATGTCTTTCAGCCATTTGAGTTTCCTCTGTTGAGAATTCTCTGTTAAGTTCTATAGCCCATTTCTTAATTGGACTGTTGGGCATTTTGATGTCTAATTTCTTGAGTTCCTTATATATTCTGGATATCAGTTCTCTGTCAGATGTGGGGTTGGTGAAGACCTTTTCCCATTCTGTAGGCTGTCACTTTACCTTGTTGAATGTATCCTTTGCTCTACAAAAGCTTCTCAGTTTCAAGAGGTCCCATTGATTGATTGTTTCTCTCAGTGTCTTTGCTACTGGTGTTCTATTTAGGAAGTGATCTCCTATGCCAATGCATTCAAGACTACTTCCTACTTTCTTTTCTAGCAGGTTCAGAGTAGCTGGATTTATGTTGAGGTCCTTGATCCACTTGGACTTAAGTTTTGTGCACGGTGATAGATATGGATCTATTTGCAGCCTTCTACATGTTGATATACAGTTATGCCAGCACAATTTGTTGAAGATGCTTTCTATTTTCCATTGTGCACTTTTGGCTTGTCAGAAATTATATGTTCATAGGTGTGTGGATTAATGTCAGGGTCTTCAATTCGATTCCATTGGTCCACATGTTGGTTTTTATGCCGGTACCAAGCTGTTTTTATTACTGGAGCTCTATAGTAGAGCTTGAAGTCAGGGATCGTGATGCCTCCAGAGGTTGTATTATTGTACAGGATTCTTTTGGCTATCCTGGGTTTTTTGTTTTTCCATATGAAGTTGAGTATTATTCTTTCCAGGTCTGTGAAGAATTGTGTTGGTATTTTAATGGGGATTGCATTGAATCTGTAGATTGCTTTTGGTAAGATTGCCATTTTTACTATGTTAGTCCTGCCTATCCATGAGCATGGGAGATCTTTCCATTTTCTGACATCTTCTTCAATTTCTTTTTTCAGAGACTTAATGTTCTTGTCATATAGGTCCTTCAGTTGCTTGGTTAGTGTTACCCCAGGGTATTTTATGTCATTTGTGGCTATTATAAAGGGTGAAGTATCTCTGATTTCCTTCTCAGCTTCTTTGTCCATTGTATATAGGAGGGTTACTGATTTTTTTGAGTTGATCTTGTATCCTTCTGTGTTGCTGAAGGTGTTTATAAGTTCCTTGGTGGAATCTTTGGTGTCGCTCAAGTATACTATCATGTCATCTGCAAATAGGGAAAGCTTGACTTCTTCCTTTCCAATTTGTATCCCCTTAATCTCCTTATGTTGTCTTATTGCTCTGGCTAGAACTTCAAGTACTATATTGAATAAGTATGGGGAGAGCGTACAGCCTTGCCTCGTTCCTGATTTTAGTGGAATTGCTTTGAGTTTCTCTCCACTTAATTTGATGTTGGCTGTTGGCTTTCTGTAAATTGCCTTTATTATGTTTAGGTATGTTCCCTGTATTCCTGATCGCTCCAAGACCTTTATCATGAAGGGGTGTTGGATTTTGTCAAATGCCTTTTCTGCATCCAGTGAGATGACGATATGGTTTTTTTTCTTTGAGTTTGTTTATATGGATGGACTTTCGTATGTTGAACCATCCTTGCATCCCTGGAATGAAGCCTACTTGATCATGGTGGATAATTGTTTTGATGTGTTCTTGGAGTCTGTTTGCCAGTATTTTATTGAGTATTTTTACATCAATGTTCATGAGGGAGATCGGTCTGTAGTTCTCTTTCTTTGTTGTATCCTTGTTTGGTTTAGGAATCAGGGTAATTGTAGCCTCATAGAAGGAGTTTGGTAATGTTCCTTCTGTTTCTATTGTGTGGAACAATTTAGAGAGTATTGGTATTAACTCTTCTTTGAAGATCTGGTAGAATTCTGCACTGAAACCATCTGGTCCTGGGCTTTTTTTGTTTGGGACACTTTTCATTACTGTTTCTATTTCATTAGGGGTTATTGAACTATTTTAATAGTTTATCTGGTCTTGATTATATTAGGTATGTGGTACCTATCCAGAAAGTTATCCATTTCTTTTAGGTTTTCCAGTTTTGTGGAGTAGAGGTTTTTGAAGTATGACCTGATGATTCTCTTGATTTCCTCAATGTCTATTGTTATGTCCCCCTTTTCATTTCTGATTTTGTTGATTTGGATGCTCTCTCTCTGTCTTTTGGTTAGTTTGGATAAGGGCTTGTCTATCTTGTTGATTTTCTCAAAGAACCAACCCTTTTATTTTCATTAATTTTTTGTATTGTTCTCTTTGTTTCTATTTTATTGATTTCAGCTCTCACTTTGATAATTTCCTGGCATCTATTTTTCCTGGGAGACTTTGTTTTTTTGTTCTAGATCTTTCAGATGTACTGTTAAGTCACTAGTGTGAGATTTCTCCAACTTATTTATGAGGGCATTGAGTGCTATGAATTTCCCTCTTAGTACTGCTTTCATAGTGTCCCATAGGTTTGGATATGTGGTGTCTTCATTTTCGTTGATCTCTAGGAAGTCTTTAATTCCTTTCTTTATTTATTCCTTAACGCATTGGTGATTCAGTTGAGTATTATTCAGTTTACATGAGATTGTAGGATTTCTGTAGTTTTTGTTGTTGTTGAAATCCAACTTTAGACCATGGTGGTCTGATAGAACACAGGAGGTTATTCCAATTGTTTTGTATCTGTTGAGATTTGTTTTGTGGCCAGGTATGTGGTCGATTTTAGAGAAGGTTCCATGGGGTGCTGAGAAGAAGGTATATTCTTTTTTGTTAGAATGGAATGTTCTGTAGATATAGATTAAGTCCATTTAAGTCATGACATCAGTTAAGTCCTTTATTTCTCTGTTAAGTTTCGATTTGGGAGATCTGTCCAGTGGTGAAAGTGGGGTGTTGAGGTCTCCCACTATTAATGTGTGGGGTTTTATATGTGATTTAAGCTTTAGTAATGTTTCTTTTACATATGTGGGTGCCCTTGTGTTTGGGGCATAAATGTTCAGAATTGAGATTTCATCTTGGTGGATCTTTCCTGTGATGAGTATATAATGCCCTTCTTGATCTCTTTTGATTGATTTTAGTTTGAAGTCTTATTTTGCTGCATATCAGGATGGCTACACCCGCTTTTTTTTTAACACCATTTGATTGGAAAGTCTTTTCCCAGCCTTTTATTCTTAGGTAGTGTCTATCTTTGAATTTGAGATGTATTTCTTGTATGCAGCAGAAAGATGGGTCCTGCTTTCGTATCCATTCTGTAAGCCTATGTCTTTTTATAGGTGAATTAAGTCCATTGATATTGAGGGATATTAATGACCAGTGATTGTTCATTCCTGTTATTTTTTGGTGGTGATGTGTGTGTACTTCTCTTCGTTGGGGTTTACTGCTGTGGCGTTATCTATTGCCTGTGTTTTCGAGGGTGTATCTGACTTCCTTAATTTGGAATTTTCCTTCTAGTGCTTTCTGTAGGGCTGGGTTTGTGGATAAGTATTGTTTAAATCTGGCTTTGTCTTGGAATGTCTTGTTCGCTCCATCTATGATGATTGAAAGTTTTGCTGGGTATATTAGTCTAGGCTGGCATCCATGGTCTCTTAGTGTCTGCATTACATCTGTCCAGGTCCTTCTGGCTTTCAAATTCTCCATTGAGAAATCGGGTGTTATTCTGATGGGTTTGCCTTTATAAGTCACTTGGCCTTTTTCCTTTGCTGCTCTTAATACTCTTTCTTTATTCTGTACGTTTAGTTGTTTAATTATTATGTGGTATGGGGACTTTTTTGGGGGGTCTAATCTGTTTGGTGTTCTATAGGCTTCTTGTATCTTCATAGGCATTTCCTTCTTTAAGTTGGGAAAGTTTTCTTCTATGATCTTGTTGAATATATTTTCTGTGCCCTTGAGTTGGTATTCTTCTCCTTCTTCTACTCCTATTATTCGTAGGTTTGGTCTTTTCATGGTGTCCCAATTTCTTGAAGATTTTGGTTCATGACTTTTTGGCTTTAGTGTTTTCTTTGACTGATGAATCTATTTCTTTTACTTTATCTTCAATGCCAGAGATCCTCTCTTCCATCTCTTGCATTCTGTTGGTTATACTTGCATCTGAAGTTCCCAATTGTTTAGTCAGATTTTCTATTTCCAGCATTCCCTCTGTTTGTGTCTTCTTCATTTTTTCTATTTCCCTTTTCAGATCTTGGACTGTTTCCTTCATTTGTTTCATTGCTTTTTCTTGATTTTCTTTCTGTACTTTATTATTTTTTTCCAGGACTTTATTGATTTCTTCTAATTTGTTTGCCCTTTCCTCTAGTTGTTTACAGCGTTCTTCCCATTTTTTTTTGTCATTTCCTCTACACAAGCCTCTACCTTCTTCATGATGTCAATCATAAGGCTGTTTTCTTCTGCTTCTTCCAATTTTTGATGTTCAGATCTAGGTGTTGGAGGATGGCTAGGTTCTGGTGATGCTGTATTGCATTTCATTTTGTTGCATGTATTTCTGCCTTGACGTCTGTCCATCTCCTTGTGGTTCATTCTTGGTCTTCTCAGCACACTTGGTTCAGACAGAACTGACAGATTCAGGAAGTCACTCTCTCTTGTCCAGATGGGAGCTCTCTTGTCCAAATGGGAACTCCGGGGCAGGATGGGAGCTCTTGTCCAGAAGGGAAGTCTGGAGCAGATTGGGCGCTCTTGTCCAGAAGGGAAGTCCAGGGCAGGATGGGTGCTCTTGTCCAGAAAGGAAGTCCAGGGCAGGATGGGAGCTCTTCTCTCTCTCTCTCTCTCTCTCTCTCTCTCTCTCTCTCTCTCTGGGTTCCAGAAGGGAAGTCCGGGGCAGGATGGGAGCTGGGGGCTGGCCACTAAGTCTCAGGAAGTGGCTGGGGTCTTGGGCGGATGGGCGTGGGGGCAGGGCGTGGAGATTGCAGGGTCTACCAGGGGTCTTGGAGAGGGGGATTCCTTCCCGGTGGGGCTAGAAGGGAACCTGCCCAGTGGCCAGAACCTGGGGCCAAGTTGGGCAGGTGTCCCCGGAGTGGCTGGTGCCCAGAGATGGGGTCTGGGCAGAGCCAGGGCACCCAACTGACAATGCATGCTGAAGCATCCAGCCAGAATTTATAACATTCACTTATGAAATGGCCTGAACACTGAACATAGAAGCAAGAGCAAGTCAGGGTTCAGGTAGGCACAGGCTGTCATTGCCCATGGAGTGGGAGATGACATGAAATCTAGGAGTCCAAGTCCCACAGAGCTGACTCTGGTACCCTAAGAAGGGAGCCTGGCACAAGAAGACATCAGCACAAAAGACCTCGATGGGGCCTAATATGCTGAATGTAAAGGTGAAGAGTAATCATGGGGAAGGACAGCTTACACCAGTCTTAGAAAACATTGAACCATCTTTGCTATCAAGTCTACTGCTCCCAGCCCACCTTTGAAAGACTGTACCTGTACATCATGTTCCTTGGCTTCTTTATGAGAAAAGACATGGTAAATCACAGCTGGGGGATGAAAGACAACAATAGAAGATTACTTCCTGTTAGGAATGAGTGTAATATCCAAGGCTCTACTAAGTATGATCAAAACTACACTTATTTAGAGACGGAATACTTGGTTAGTATGAAAAGGCAAAGATTTCTTGGATGATACTTCTGTTTTACTCTGCAGTCCTGGGGGATTAAACTCAGTGGGGTTTAATGCATGCCAGGCAAATGCTTCACCATGGATCCATGTCTCTGGTCCTACTGAATGCTGCTTATTTACATATTTATTTAAAGACAGAGTCTCACTTTGCATCCTAGGCTGACTTAGAATTTGCTATGTAGCTCACAATGGCCTTAAACCTCCAATACTTCTGTCTCAGGCTCCTAAGTGCTAGTTCCTGGGATTACAGACATGTACCACCACAACTATCTTAGATACTTCTTAACTCTTCCCTCTGGCCAGATTTGTCCTAGAAATATTTAGGATGAGGTTTAAAAGAGCACCTCTCAAAGCTTAATGTGTTTAAGAACCTCTGGGATCTTATTAAAACATGGGGTTTTAGTTCCTACTCCAGACTCTGCATGTCCAGAAAAACTCCTCATTGGATCACATTTAGAGTAGTTCTGATTTAAAATACAAGTTATAATTATGCTGGGGCAGTTGCTCACTAAGGAATGAAGACACTAAAACTGAGGTGATGTTAACGGTTAGGGGGTGGTTGGTTGAAACACTGTATTTTGCTGACTACAAGAAATTTAAAACATATTTTTCGCTGTTTAGAATCTATAAAATTGGAATGTATCCTGACAGACAAAATACAACAGTCTTTCTGCAAATTCTAAATATGACCAGCATGATGCCAAAATCTCTCTAAACCTCCATGCTTCTGTTTCTTATTTGTTTGGAGGAAACCATCACGGTGGCATTGGGGGACAGAGTACAGTTGTAAATGTGGTAAGAAAGGGCAAATGACCAGAAAATGTAGCTCACACTACACTCTATACATTTAGTCCCTGAGCTGAGTGTGGTAGCGCACACAGTTGATCCCATCACTTCAGAGGGAGAGGCCAGCCTCGTTTACAGTCTGTTTCCAGCTCAGTCAGAACTATATAGCGGACCTTATCCCAACAGCAACAATAATAACAAACAAAGAAACAAAAACCCACCTCTGTTCTGTGTGCTTCCCTGAGTACATGTTTGAACAAGCAAACAAACCAAGGTAGTTACCAGTTTTACATACAGAATCTAGTTCTCCATTGAACTGCAAATTGACACTCCGGTTTGTTTATTGAGATTAATGTGCAGGGCCTGAGATCCCAGGAATAACTTTGTTTTACCTACCCCAGATGCCTAGCAACAGAGTTGGAAATCTTTCTGCAGCAGTACACATGTAATAGCTCTGGTACACTCACTGCTTGTCAAGTAGTTGATTTAAAACAACACATATATACACTGGTAGGTGCGTGTATACATTTATTTTAATCTCATTAATCTTTCTAAGCAATTTTAAACATAGTTATTCCTAGTTATGTACAAAATAATATTGAAGTTGAGATATGCCAAGGCACTTGATCTCTGATAAAAGGACATGGCAGGAGTGTAAATCAACAGATCAGAGGCTTAATCTTTACAGTATCCCCTCTCCCTCTAATACTGCTCCAGTGCTTGCTTCCTTTCCTGGAACATCTCTTTTCTGCTCAAATACCAATGCCTTAGGTTTGCAATACTGAGCCTAAGAAGGATTTTACATGACAAAAGGTGAAAAGCCAGAGGGGAGCAGGTCCTGTCAGCAGTTATCTGGGCAGGTAGTGGCTAAGTCCCGCCAAGGTCTTGGATCCACCTCTTCTAGTTCCCCTGAGCATCCCTAGCTCCCCTGGGGAGAACACAAACTCCATCTTGACATCTATTCCTAGTTTAGAGACTGTGTCTGGCCACTTCACACTCTGCGCCTCGATTTCTTTTGTGTACGATGAGTCAATAGTACACAGTTTCCCTGGAAACTGTCTTGGGACTCTGTTGCGACAGGTATCCCTGATTCAGCTTCCTGTTCCAGACCCTCTTTACTGTCATCCCGGCCCAATTTCGTGTCTCTCATCCCGCTTACCCTTCATTGTCGGACGCTTCCGGAGCGCTTTGATGACGTTTCCTTCAGGTCTCACTCACTCTTTCCCTTTCTTCACTTTGTTCAGCAGCTTTCAGCCACCAGGACTCTTTCTTGTTTACCTTTCCGCTAGAAAAATCCGTTGTGCCCAAGAAACAAGGTGCGCACAGCACACAAACAGACATGCTCCAGGCGGCATCAATGGATGCAACCAGATCTCGGACACAGCGCTTTGCGTGACGCCATCTAAGCGCGACGGGCTCTGGCGGTGCATGCGCCTTGGGTTTAGCTCTGCTGCCGAGGGAGGGGCTAGCTAAGCGCCGGTTCTGTGGCGGGTGGAGTCTGTTATTTGTGGCCTCTTCAGTTTATGGCTGTCCTGGCCGAACAGTCCAGTTGCAGGTCAGGATTAATGAAGTATAGCTTGGCAAGCTGTCATGGAGAGGATGTTAGGGAGATTGGGATTACGGAGGGCAGAAATGGGCCCGAAGTAGTGGACGTATTTTCTTTTCCTTTTTCTTTTTAGTTTTTCGAGACAAGGTTTCTCTTTGTAAGAGCCCTGGCTATCCTGGAACTCACTCTTGTAGACCAGGTGGCCTCAAACTCAGAGACTTGCCTGCCTCTGCCCCCTATGTGCTGGGATTAAAGGCATGAGCCACAATCATCTGGATTTTCTTTTCGCCCCCCAGGGGACTCATGTGTCCCTGGCTGGCCTAGAATTCACTCACAGGATTACTAGTTATCTTTTGTAATGGTGGCTGGGGATTTTCTTCTATTTAAGCTACTATGTTTAAGGGTCTCTTTCCTATATGTAAAATAGAGTAGCTTTAGCTGGCTTTAGTCTCAGAATGCTTGCTTTTTAAAATTTATTTATTTTTCCTTCTGAAGACAAAGTCTCCCCGTGTAGTCCAGACGCTTTCTATGTAGCCGAGGCTGAGCTCCTAAGTATAATCAATATTCCTGCCTTAGCCTCTGGAGCATTGGGATTTACAGGCCTCCCTTACTGCATCCAACCCAGAAAGCATTCTTGAGACTTGGCGCATTAGTTTCTGTCAATATGATAAAAGACAAAAAGTGATTCTTGTGGTTGCAGATGTGGGACACAAAGGCCCAGCCCAGACTTCTCAGCCTGCCTGGGTTCTGTCCAGACACCGCTCTTAATTTCTGATGAGTGCTGGATCTAACTTGGATGGTGGGTGAGAGAAACAGTCCCTGTGGTCTCTTTAGTCGGTGATTTTTAATATTGAGTACTATGCGACCTCCTTTTAAAGAGGGAAAAGAATTCTTAGAGAAACTTGGCAAAGAGCACCACATTCTTGTTTAAGAAACATAGGCTTTATATGTCTTTGGGTGATAATTGTGTGCCATTTTGATCTTCAGCAGTACAGGCCATGGTAACGCCCATATGCTTTAGACTTTGAGGCCACCCTGACAACAACAGGATGGACACCAAATGTGTTGCATTTGCAAAGACCTGACACTAGTTTAGCATGTATGAGACTGTGTGTGAAAAGTGCCCTTGGGGACTCATAAATGTGAACTCAATAATGAATACTTGATTTCTTTTTTGAGATAGGCCTCCCTTTGCAGGCCTGGCTGTTCTGGAACTGGCTAAGTAGATCAAATTGGCCACAGACTCACAGAGATCCACCTGCCTCTGTCTTAAGAGTGCTGGAATTAAAACATGCTAAAAGATTACTTGACAAAAATGGTATACATTTAAAATAACACTTTGAAATTTATATATTATGAAATGGCTAAATCAGTCTAAATAACCTCATGTAATTGTTTTTTTGGTGAGACATTTAAAATTTTAGTGATTTTTTTCAAGTATATGCTGCTACTATAGTAGCTATGACATACATTAGATTATTATGTATTAGCTTTTGGTCTTCTTTTCTTTAAAAAGTTATTTAATTAATGAATTTACTCATTTATTTTTGGTGGTTAGGATCAGCCCAGGACTTATGCTATGTATCACTGAGCTATTCCTCCCTTACAGTTATGAACTTAGATAAGCACAAGACAATAGTGGACTAGGGGTGTAGCTCAGTGGTAGAACACTTGCTTAGTACATTGAGACCCTGAGTTAATTACCAGAGTAGCAGATGGTGGGGGTGAGGTTAGACAACTGAAAATATATGAGTCGTTTTGTGGGTTGTAGACTCAAAAGTAGCATGGATTCTGTGGTTATAGTGACAGAGGCACAGGAGTCTCTCTTTTTGAAAAGAATTATTTTTATTTTATGAGTGGTTTTTCTTTTTGGTTTTTCAAGACAAGGTTTCTCTGTGCAACAGCCCTAGCTGTCCTGGAACTCCCTCTGTAGACCAGGTTGGTCTCAAACACACAGAGATCATCGTGCCTACCTCCCAAGTACTGGCTTTAAAGGCATGTGTTACCATGCCCGGCTTTATGTTATAGTGTTTTGACTGCATGTACGTACGTATCTGGTATGTGCATTGTGTGTGGCTCATGCCTACAGAGGCCAGAAGAGGGTGTCAGATTCTCTGGAACTGGACTTACAGAGATGGTTGTAAGCCTTCATGTGTTCAGTGTGTATTGAACCCCAATCCTCGGCAAGAATAGTAGGTGCTCTTAGCTGCTGAGCCCTCTTTCTTCCTCAGTTATTAGGAATCTCTTAATGAATCATTTTTAAATAGCAAGCATAGCTTTGAATATCTGCCAGTGTTCCCTGTGATTCTCAGATTACAGTAGGGTGGTGGGTTCCCCAGAGCAACAGTGACCATAGTTGCCTGCTTACTAAAATAATTGCTTTTTAAGAAGGGAGTGCCCCCACTTTATCCTCTTCAGAAAACAGTGTATGAAGAGAGATACCTATTAGAATAATTTTTGTGATTATTATTTATGATAGCAAAGTACTCAGAATAATATTTGACAGCTATGGACTGAGCAAATGAAGTATGTGCTGATTTATTTGGTAAATTAAATTTATCACATGGGTGATAGAGTGCACACCTATAACTCCAGCCCTCAGAAAGCTGGGCCAGGAGGATAGAGAGTTTAAGGTCCTCTTAGGATACACAGTGAGACCCTGTCTGAGAAAGCAAACAAATTAAAGGTTTCAAAATTTCTGATTCCTAGGCATCTCTTAGAGTTACCTAGCAAATGATTACCCAGCATCTATGTTTTGAAAAAAGATTTTAAAAGTGTTTATGTGTTTGTGTGTGTGTGTGTATAATGTGTGTGGGTGCATGTGCATGTGTCAATAGCCACAGAGGCTAGAAGAAAACTCCATTGGATCTCGAGTTACATGTGGATTGGAGCCACCCAATGTGGGTTCTGGGACATCTGGAAAAACAGCAATTGTTCTTAACCCCTGAGTCATCTCCCTGGTCCCTAGAATCTGTATTTTTAAAGAATGTTCTCAGGTGAGATGTTCTTATATTCAGGTATGTAATAGGTCCCGTTACAGGTTAGGTAACCACAATTTTTAGGATGGTTATAGAAATATTAGTAAATAAAACCAAATCTATACAGAAAAATACAAATACATTGAAAGGTTTTATAAATGGACGAGGAAACACCTTTGCTTATTTAAAAAATTCATTTTATGAAAGTGACATCTTAATTTTTTTCTCTTTGTAGCAATGAATGGTAAACTTTGCATCATCGATATTCATGCATTTTCCCATGAGTGAATCTATGAAAATTCTGTGAGAATTTGAGGTTCAATGGCATGATGGTGACTCCACCCACTTCCAACAACTTACTATGGAAAACTTGAAGTAGGATTGGTGAGATGGCCAGCAGGTAAAGGTGTTTGCCATCTAAATCTGACCACCTGAATTCCATCACCAAATTCCACCAGGACAGAAAAGGACTGACTCCAGAGAGTTGACCTGTTACCTCCCCACACATGCTGTGCCACGTGTGTACCACACTCACATACACTTACTCCAGTCAGTACCAGTGTGCTTCTATAGCTAATATCTTGCTACATTTGTGCAGATTATGTTGGCTTGCTGTCTTAAGACCTTCAGGCTGTCATATCAAAGACAGAAGCACATTTTCATACAGAGATTCAGGAATAACTTCAGTTATTAAACACACGAGTATTTGAAAATCAGGCCATAACTTGGATTACTTTCTTATTTTCTTTTTATTCCATTTTTTTAAAAAATCTCTGTGCTTTGGTGTTTTTCCTGCTTGTATATCTATATGAGTGTGTCAGGTACCTGGAACTGGAGTTACAGACAATCGTGAGCTGCCATGTGGGTACAGGGAATTGAACCTCTGGAAGAACAGCCAGTGCTCTTAACCACTGTGCCATCTCTCCAGCCCTCCCTTATTCTATTACAGTTATTATGAGTGTCTGTGTGTGTTGGCATGTGTGTGCCACAGCACGTGTGATGGTCTAAGGAGAGCTGAAGGTGTCAGTTCTCACCCTGCACTCTGTGTGTCCCTAAAATTGAAGTCCTGTCATCAGGCTTGGCAACCAGCACATTTACCCACTGTCTTAGTTAGGGTTTCTATTGCTGTAATGAAATACTATGACCAAAAGCAACTCGGGGAAGAAAGGGTCTATTTCTTTTATATATCCCCAGTCACAGTCCACTGAGGGAAGTCAAGGCAGGAACCCAAACTGGGAAGGAATCTGGAGGCAGGAGGTGATGCACAGGCCATGGAGGAGTGATGTTTACTGACTTACCAATCATTGCTTGTTCAACCTGTTTTCTTACAGAACCTGGGACCACCAGCCCAGGCGGCACCAGCCACAATGGGCTGGGCCCTCTCACATCAATCCCTAATTAAGAAAGTTCCTTGCAGGTTTGCCTATAGCCTGACTTTCTGGAGGCATTTTCTCAGTCGAAACCTCCATTTCGCCTGCTCTCAGGTGACTTTAACTTGTGTCAAGTTGACACAAAACTAGACAGCACACCCACAGAACCATCTTGCCAGCCCCTTAGTTTACTTCTTGCTGCCGTTGACATTATACATACAGATACACGGGAGGAAAGGTTAACTTTGGCTCAGGGTCAGTGATCTGTAGTCTATCACAGCAGGGTGGGCATGGTGCAGTGTCTCAGTCCATGGCAGCAGAAGTGTGTGGCAGTGCTATTCATGTCATGGCTGACCAGGACAAGCAGTATGACCAGAACTATGTCTGGGCTGTAACCTTAAAGGCCACTCCTAATGATCTACTTCTGCCAGGAAGCTGGGCTTCCTGAAGGTTCCATCGCCTTCCCAGATAGTGTTGC